ATAACATTTTATTTTAATAATTAAAATTTAATTTTTGATAAATTCAAATAAAAAATATTATTTTTTTATGATTAATGTAATCAAAAGTTATTGTGTCACGGACTTAAAAAAAAGTCATTAATCCCACATCGAACATAATAGGAGGGTCACTAGGGTATATAAGGGTTCACACCACCTCCACCTTGTGAGGCGCTTTTTGTAGGATAAAATCGTGAGGTCAGGGGGCCAGAGCAGACAATACCTCACAAGGGTGTGAACCGTGACGGTCAGGCTAATTCGAGACACTGAAATGGTGAATGCCCGGGTCCCGGAGCCACACGGGTTTGGAGCTTGAGTCTCGACCCGTGACAAGTGGTATCAGAGCCAGCCCTAAACCGCTCGATCCACGTCAAGTACCTCGAGAGAGGTAGACAGGGTGGCCAGCCTCCGTGACGAAAACGTCATGAGGTTGGGTGCGGGAGAATGTCACGGACTTAAGGAAGAGTCCTGAATCTCACATTGAATATAATAGGAGGGTCACTGGGGGTATATAAGGGTTCACACCACCTCCGCCTTGTGAGACGCCTTTTGTAGGACAAAACTGTGAGGCCAGGGGGGCCAGAGCGGACAATACCTTACAAGGGTGTGAACCGTAGCGGTCAGGCTAATTCGAGACACCGGAAGGGTGAATGCTCGGGTCCCGGAGCCACGCGGGTTCGGAGCTTAAGTCTCGACTCGTGACAAGTGGTATCAGAGCCAGTCCTATACCATTCGATCCACGTCAAGCACCTCGAGGGAGATAGGCAGGGTGACCGGCCTTCGTGACGAGGGCGTCACGAGGTTAGGTGCAGGAGAATGTCACGGACCTAATGAAGAGTCTTGAATCCCACATCGAACATAATAGGAAGGTCATTGGGGTATAAAAGGGTTCACACCATCTCAACCTTGTGAGGCACCTTTTGTAGGATAAAATCGTGAGGCCAGAGGGGGTCAGAGCGGACAATACCTCACAAGGGTGTGAACCGTGGCGGTCAGACTGATTTAAGAAGTCGAAAGGGTGAATGCCCGGGTCTCGGAGCCGCGCGAGCTCGGAGCTTAAGTCTCGACCCGTGACAAGTGGTATCAGAGCCAACCCTAAACCGTTAGATCCACGCCAAGCACCTCGAGGGAGGTAGGCAGGGTGGCCAGCCTCCGTGACGAAGGTGTCACAAGGTTGGGTGCGAGAGAATGTCACGGACCTAAGGAGGAGTCCTGAATCCCACATCGAACATAATAGGAGGGTCCTTAGGGTATAAAAGGGTTCACACCATCTCCGCCTTGTGAGGCGTCTTTTGTAGGATAAAATCTTGAGGCCAAGGGGGCCAGAGCGGACAATACCTCACAAGGGTGTGAACCGTGGCGGAAGGCTGATCTAGGACGTCGCGTGAATGCTCAGGTCCCGGAGCCGTGCGGGTTCGGAGCTTAAGTCTCGACTCGTGACAAGTGATATCAGAGCCAGCCCTAAACCGTTCGATCTACGTCAAGCACCTCAAGGGAGGTAGGCAGGGTGACCAGCCTCCGTGACGAGGGCGTCACGAGGTTGGGTACAGGAGAATGTCACGGACCTAAGGAAGAGTCCTGAATCCCACATCGAACATAATAGGAAGGTCACTGGGATATATAAGGGTTCACACCACCTCCGTCTTGTGAGACGTCTTTTGTAAGACAAAATCGTGAGGTCAGGGGGGCCAGAACGGACAATACCTCACAAGGGTGTGAATCGTGACGGTTAAACTAATTCGAGACATCAAAAGGGTGAATGTCTGGATCTCGAAACTACGCGGGTTCGAAGTTGAAGTCTCAACCCATGACAATTGCATCACCCATTGGGCATCGTTGCATATCCTTGAACCTTTTTTTTTTTTTTCTCATATTAATTTTGTACTACCAAATATGAGAAACAAATTAGACTCAAAACAGTGTAACCTTTGGGGCAAAAATTAGTCTTCCAAATGGCCCAAACCACCAATCCAGCAACATAGCAATACAACTAATCTGCAAAGTTGAAGTCCTGAATCCAGTTTTCTACTTGGATTTTCAGTTGGAATTTGAAATTCAATTGGCAGGGCACTTTACTCTTTATCCATAAAGAAAAATGAAAAGAAACAAATTTTCTTATCCATAACACAAGAGGTCATGCTTTTGCCATCACCTACTTTGCTATTGTCACATTATCTAGCATAAGAATGAGCTGAACTAGCCGGCTACCATGAGAGTGACAATCCTAGCTCATCCCATTCACAATGTCTTGAAAGGGGCATGCCCTCATTACAGTAACCTGTTATTTTGTTGTTTTATCTAGGGAGGTTATACAAGTTGGTAGGTTTTGTCATGCTAAGGCCAGGCCTGCAAATCTTCAGGCACTTTTAGGTGCACGTTCATTTTGGTTGGTTCACCATTCACATGCATGCTTCCCCTTTGAATTTGTATCCCTTGATCAGTACAAACTTTCATGGATTTTCTGATAGTGTTTGGTTTACTAGCTCTCAATAATTTGCTTAGTTCCTTGGCTACAATGAAATGAGTTTATAATAGTATGAACAGCTAGACATTTGGCGTCGCTTCTGCCAAACGTCTCACTAAATAGTGAATGAGGGTTTTGATTGAAGGAGTACAGACAAAGCAGAAATATCACATTTAAGCTTATGCTTTCCAGCAACCGGCATTTGTGATTAAGATTATTGTCTTCCTATATTCTCAGTTGTTTAGGTCCAAAATAACTTTTTTTTAAAGATGATTAAAATATATTATCCATGATCCAATATTGATCTTGCATGAATTATCACATTAGCAAGGGGAAAGGTTGCCCTTTGAACAAATGCATAAAATCTGTTTTCCATTAAAGGAAAACAAAGAGTATTCCAAACCCAAATCCATCCTCTCTCGGATCCTGCCAATTCAATTAGCTAAACTCAAAATGTCAATCTTCGTTTCGAACTTGGTCGGGTTTTGAGTCAGGATCAGCCATTAGAAACTGCTAAGGACCAATTCTATTGGCAGTCAAGTCCATGAATCAGTCCAGCTCTCATATGCCCAAAGCCAGCTTTTGGGCCCTAGTTATAAGGAAGTAGGTTTAGATTATGTACTTATATTTACGCATGACTATTGATTGACATCTGATATTGGGCTTTTTTGTGGACTTGTCCCATGGATTTGGATTCATGACTGGAACTCGACTTGGGATATTTGATAGAAGTAGGTTTAGATTATAGTTTGACCCTTAAAAAAGATCCGAAAAAGTGAAACCAAATGGATCATTATTGGAATGGAGAATCATAGGCTTTAGACCTTTTTTTTCATGATGGTTGATTGAATATTTGATGGGCAAGAAAAAATTTCCTCTGGTGGAACACAGGCCGGAGGCAGGCATGCCAGCAGGACTTTAACTGATATAAATCATCAATCAAATCAAAGCCCCATCGCAGTACCGTCCAACTTTTAACAATAGAATTTGAGTGAAATTATAAAGCAATCCTAGCCAAACCTGATCCCATTGGGAAAAGACACCATCTTTGGAAACTCATTTCCCTTGAATGTACGTACAATTCCCCCCTTCTACAATTCTTTTAATTCCTAATCCTGTACGATTCTTTCGGACCGCCCCCTTTGATTATAGGGTTCTTGATAAGCAATAGTGACTGGGACATCCATTTTCTTCTAGCAGCTTTGGCAACACACGTCAAAATCTTCACATATTTTTTGTTTTCACAGTAACTTTAAAGTCCCAAGCTTGTCATTTTCAACAAAGATTGTTTTTCATACGCGGTGGGTCGATTTGAAGCAAGATTCTATGGAACACTGCTCACCTCTTGGGCCTCTTCACGCTTCAATACCAGCAAAATTCAGAAGCCAGTAAACTCGACTGAGGATTTTTTTGGAGTTTGAGGGAGGATTTTGACCAAATGTCTGGCCAACATCCAGGTAAGGTTTTGTCAAAGAATCCACACCAATGTGGTGGGCCCCGCCACAGCTGACACAAGTCATTTTTTTCTCGCTGATTCTTGTGTATCTTTACTTCGGAATGGAGCCAATCAGAGAAAAATGGTGTAGTGTAAACGATCCATTGGATTAAATGATAAGGTCAAATGTCAACGTGAACAGGCAATGAGCTTGTAGTTGTTTTGTTTAAAATGGTCTGTAACAGCCTCAGCCAGTGACATATAAGATGTTATAACAATGGCCAGTTCTGGATATTGCATTCTTGATTTTTTTTAAGTCTAAATCTTGGGCATCAAATAAACCAAAAGTTGATTATGGAGTCAAACATCCATCATTAGCTTGGCCATTATTGCGCCTGATCAGTAAACTTGAGGTTGTTGGCTGCCAGCAGAATTATTAATCCACAAGAATATTTTCTGGGTTTGGTAGTTTCATTTTCTTCCACCACCCCTCCTCAACCCACTAAAATGCAATGGAAAGTGAAAAAGTACAGTGCCAAATTGTTGGTTGATATTAAAGATGTATGGCTTAACATAGAATTTATACCTTAATTTGTACTTGTAGGTGGAAAATTTTGTTGCTTTTGATTTACAATATTGTCAAACTTTACTTTTTACCTAACCTAATTACCCCCCTCAACAGTTGGTTAGATGAAAAACATTTTAACTTAATTTCACAGCGGAGAAATTTAACTTTTACAATGCAAAGTATGGTGCATTAAAATTACAAATTGTCCTTCTTCATGCAACAAAATAACAGAATTTACAGCAGTGACTTTTAATTAACAATCGCTTCAATTTTCTTTTTCTTTCTTCATGAATTCAACTGTCTCAAAGTCTCCACCTTATTTTTTTTGCCTCCACTCCGATTCGAACCCGGGACGACTCGGCGGATAACTCACCCACCTTTTTTGCCATCTCCATCCATTCTCCGGAGCCAAATGCACTTTGACTCAGCTCATCTTTCACCCCCCCCCCCCAATTTTTAACCAATTACAAACAATTTTTGAAAAAAAAAAAAAAAAAACCCACCAACTTACCTTCTTACTATGGTAGGTAAAAACTCAAGAATTAGTAACCACATCCTCAACTCGGCCGATTCACTGGTTTCAGCGGTGTATAATTAACTGTTTCACTCGAGCTAACTCGGAACTGAGTCAAAAAAAACCCCGGGTAAGAATCAAAGCTTTTTCCACTGTTTCTTTAATTACCAGATTGTTTTCTCAGCGAACCCATGAAGCAACGGTCGAGATTCGTTCCACAAATCAAGCTTACTCCTCATTCCCACGTGGCAGTTCCCTTTAAAGTCCTCGATGTTCACGAACCCACCGGAGTGACCCGACTCGGATCGGGAAATAAACTGGATCACTTCTTCGAAAACGGACTCGTCGCAGGGTATCGCCAATGGTCCTTGGTTAGTGAACCCGTACTCTTCTTCGGCTTGGATAAGGAGTTTCTTGAAAACAGGATGGTTTAGATACGTCGCGCGCACCACGAATCTCCTGCAACTTCTCCCCACACGGACCGCCACGTGTCCCGCCGGAACATCGGATGGGATGCGGCTGGCTGACATGCGAGCCTTGTTCCTCCACCGCCGTAGCATTTGTCGAAGCCTCACAATGTGGCGGATTTTGCTGCATTTCCCAAGGCCCGCCGACATTTTCCCGGAAAAGTAAGAATTCAGAGAGAAAAATAAAGACTTAGTTTGTTTGGGCTTTGCTTTGAGAACTGAGAAAAATCAAACTTTTGGAAGGGGGATTAAGAGTTTAGGAGGAAGAGGATTTTATAAAAGGATATGTGGGAAGTTACCCTTAACGTTTGAGATAATTACAATGTTGTCCGAATATTAATTTCATTTTACAATGGATAATAATAAAAGTAATAATATTTATGTAGCATAATAGCGAAACAAATACAAGGGAAAGACAGAGTTAATGATGCAAAATCAAAATTTTTATATAAATTTTTATTTGAGGAGATAGATGTCATGTAATCTTTAAAGAAAGATTTTTTGCTTTTGATACACTGAACTCTAGAAGACTATATCATGTGATAATTGGAAGTAGTAATTAAAAAAACAGTGAGTAATTGGTAAATTTGTTCTTATTTCTAATCAACGTGACTTAAAAAGATTAATATCTAGGCGAATAAATTTTTTTAAGTAATATTTTAATTTTTAAAAAATTTTCTCAAAATTAAAGATTTTTTTTTTACAAGTGAATGGGATAATTTTATAATTTAATCAATCTATACATACGTGCAAACACCAAGAATATCATATTATTAAATAACTCCATACGTCATTGAACAGATTCATGCTATTTAAAAAAAAAAAAAATCGAAATGAGAAGTCGTCTGATCCATATAAAAATTAGTTAGATGGTAAACATTAATGAAGTTTATTGAGGTTGGAGATAAGAGTATATATTAAATTTAGTAAGTATAAAATGGAAGCATTACCTTTCCGATGCTAATAATTTTGGTGGCGTTGGGGACAATATTATAACTTCTTGAATTTAATCTGATATCAAATTGGAAATGAAGGGCTGTGGAAAACCCTTTTTGGGGACCATGCTCAGTAATGATTTAACCTTTTTTTTTTTTGTCTTTCCTTGGTTATGGAATGTGTTAAGGAATCATTGCTCAACTAGTTTTGATTTTCTCCTGTAAATCATTGTTTGTATACCATGGGAATTTTATTATAAAAGTTAACACTGCAATACCCGCAAAGGTTCAATTAAAATTTTCCTATAAAAGATGTAATAGTTTCGGGATAATAAAAAAGATTATAAATATTAAAATTTGAATTTAAAATTGCTGATAGCTTCTGCAAATCAATTCTTTCAAATTTGGTAGTCAAGTACAGAAAAAAAAAAAAACACTGCAATTCAGCTGGGAAAAGAAGTCTGACCAATTAGGCAGCTTACTTTGAAGTAAGGAACTCAACTTCATTACTTCAAAGTAGTTTCCTAGTTACTAGTTTAGTCAAAAACAAAAAGAAAAAAAATCCCAATGAATACCAAAAATAGTTAAACCATGGGCACACCATGAATCCTTGTGCTATAAGCCGCTTACTGTTTCTTCTTAAACCTCAAATGTCAGTAACTTAAGTTTTCATCCTCAAACATTTACAAAAAAAGAAAAAAGGATAGACTATTAAGCAATATGATCTAAACCCTTAAAAACAAAGGTTTTAGAAGATTTGTTTTTTGAATTGTGGATCAAACGACATGTAATTTATTAAAAAAAGGTTTTGTTTAACGCATGAAGCCCAAGAAAAAAAAAACCCACCACATGCAAAAGTGGGAAAGAAGGTTGGGTGTCTGTAGAAGTGGTTGAGTCAATTGAAGATGGTTTTGTTTCCTGAATCATAAAATAATCCAGCTCTTCCCTAAAGCAACGATTATGTATTCTCCATATCTGACTATACCCATGTGCCTGGATGCTACATCTTTCCCTTTCTTTAGTTTCCCAAAACAAACCGCCAAAAGTCCCTCCCCCTCTCCTAATCACTCATTGAACCCAATCAAACCCAATCTCTCTCCTAATTATCCCCATAAAAGCTTTTAAAGTGAGTAATAAATAAAGGATTTATTAAGTCAAAATTGAAACCAAAAAAAAAAATAAATAATAATAAGCTTAGTTCCCCTTTAATGGTCAAGATGGGGTTAATGAATGCATGGGTCCACGTGCATGTTATGGGAAGGTAGGGTGCATCCCCACCCCAAACGTCATAGTATTGCACATTATAAAGAAGTAAGAACCCCACTTGCTAGGATTTAAGGATCATATCATTTATTTCGTTCTATTGCCAATCTTCTTCGACTTTTAACCAAATACATCCCCAAAAACATTGTAGAGACAGTATTAAGAAAAATAATGAAAAAAAATGGATTCTGTAAACATAAAAGCCATTATAATATCTTATCTATTATATATGCATATATCACACAACATATTAACTATTTCCCCCTTTGTTTTCTTCCATGTTTAATACACTTTCTCCCTTTGTTTCGATTTAGACAAGAATTATTGGAAAAGATTTAGGGAATATATAGATTGGTTTAGATTCGTTTCCTTGTTAACAATAATGTAAATGCTTGTATAAAAAAATTAAACTTTCTCTTTTAGTAAATCTAAAAAAAATTGAAAACTGTCCAAAATTTTAATTATGTTCATTGAAATTAAAAAAAAATATATATTTTATCAAAGATTATAAAATTATTGGTATTTCAATCAATCTTTTGAATCATCATTAAAGTAGCATTGGTGATGATCAGCGGGCCAACCTTAAATGGGGTGAAAATCGAGGAATACGGTTATCCCACGTCACTTTCGGAGGGCTGACATGGCACCGTCGTTAAGTCTCAGAAGCACGAGGAGGGATGGGTTGAGCGGGACCCACCCCTTCCCGAATGGGCCAATAGGATTATATTTTATGTGGCGAGAGAGAGAGAGAGAAGGAAAATGGAAACAGTTGAGGAGTTGGAGGGAAAAAGGAAAAGTTGGTGTCTAGGTTCGTAGCCGCTTAGTGGTACTGAAACGTGTCACGGGCCTCACGGACCCCTCGGCTTTGGCAGGGGCCCCACGTTTCTCCTCCTTCTCGTACGGGCTACCCTAATTTTAATGGTTAAAAAGAACTCGTGTGTATTCCACTCACACCTAAACTTATTATATACCCAATCAATTACCTAAAAAGATTATTTACTACTCCACAAAACGAAAAAAGCATTTTACTTAATTTTTTAAATAGAAAATCATAATTTAAAATTTAAGAGTAAAAAACACTTATTTTTTATATTATACATGGATTAATTATTCATAAATTTGAGTTTTATATAATATTTTTTAAAAATTTTATATAATTTTAAATTATGATCGATTTATTTTAATGTAATAATCATGTTAATCTTAAAATATCTTAATTATCATGAATCAAAATCATTAATTAACAACAAATTTTAGATGAAATGTGCCCCTTATATATATTGTAGATTTTTTACACCTTTTCTTTTTCGCTTCTTACATCAGCATGAATTCCCAGTATAAAATCCTTCTTTTTTAGTATAATCTATTGAACCGCAGTAATGCATGACATATGAGGTTAAGCTAGATTGCAACGATTTTAGCTTTTGTGGTGATGGGGAAGTTGGGAATTTGAGAGAGAGAGAGGACAAAAGAAAAAAGGTTTGAAAAGTTAGACTGGGCATGAAAAGGCAGTTAATCACCTTTTCGAAGGTGGAATGAAGACGTGTGTTCTTCCTTCTTTACATGTAATTAAATACAACAGAAAGAATTTTTTATCCTAAGTTGTAATAACCTCTGTCTGTTTTTGTTTTGGGAATAAGGAATCTGATCCCTTTTATATGCTTTTTCCTCTCATCCATTAAACTTTTAATTAAGGTTAATTAAGCTGGATTAAGGCAACAGTTTTTGCTGTTAGGAGAAATTATTAAAGTATTAATCCATTATTTCTCGCTGGCACACATGCTAGCTAGGGAGCTTAGTTTTAGGACAAATGTCTTTATAATGTTTTAATTTGGACATGGATTTTATATGTATCAGCCACTTTCGGCGTACGCAAAACTTCGTTGACAGTTTGCCACGTTAAGATTGCAATTTATTCGTCAAAAATCTTTAAAAATATATATATGCTTATCATTGTTCTGAATAAAACATTAGGAGGATTAATTATTCAAATTCATGAATTCAAAACTTCTATTATATATGTGCCATAAAATTTGTAAGAAAAATTACATAATTATTAGTTTCTTAATATGTGTGGATATATAATTTGATAATATCAATCTTTTTAACAAGAAATAAATAGTCTCATGTAATGAGGATTTTTCGATTAAAACTCATGATCAGTTTCTTTATGAACATCTCATGAGAGATATGTTTCGCTAATTAAAACCTTTGGCTCGATATTGTTAGGTCAAAAAGCTTCAATCTAATCACATTAGAATAAGTAAAATCAAATAATTAATTAATCACAAAAGAGATAATAATTTAACGTAATTCGATCTAATTAACTTATATCCATGGATGAGAAACAAGATTCATTAGTTATAGAGAATTACAAACATATATCAAAATATATCAACCACTCAATAATCAATATCTATAGACTATCTCAATCTCCTCTAGTCTTATAGAGTATTTTTAATCTAATCAAACATATACCTATGTGCACCATCTAAACACAACTAAACACATACCTATATGCATCCATACATTACATATATGTGAACTCTCTCAGTCTCCTCTAGTCCACTCACAAATAAACATACACACCCATAAGACATAAAAGTTCGGTACTCCTATAGAGTGTCTATCGCACAAAATTTTTACAACTCTCTTACATCTTTCTTTCATACTTAACTCTGTAGAGACTTTACCTATTTATAAGCATACAAACTTGCCTATTAAAAATAATTTTTCTCTTAGAATTCTTATTCTACAAGTCAAATTTGTCAATTAAGAATTCATTTCCTCTTATAATTATTCTCCTGCAAGTTAAACTTAAATATTAATAATCCTATTTTCTCTTAGAATTCTTATTTTATAAGCCTTCTTATCCATCAAGCAATATCTTGTCACTATCAAACCAATTTTTTATGGGATTTGAGTCATTATTCCTAACAATATTCACATTGACTCAAATTTTATCAAATTATCTGTCTTTATGCTAGATATGCTTAGCTCCACTTGCAATGAAAGTCTCACAATCATCTTTCATTGTGTATCTTCATGTTTCACAT